GATTATTGGTCTTAAAACACACAAGAATTAATATCACTACAGTCCAACAGTATCTTTATTTCTAGTATATTTATGTATTTTGACACATTTTATTCCCACTTTATTATCAGAGGATTAGTACACCACACCTTAAACTACTAGTAGGCCCGTCTCCATTGTATTTTTTCAAGTGAATTCTATGGGGGCTCTACTGTAATGGTTCCCAACCACCGATCCATTATTGACCGGTGTTGGTCACATCGGTCTACAATGTGATGTCAGCCAATTGGCAGGAAGGCTGAAAAGGAAACGTTTGTTTTAAAATACAGCTATGGAAGTATACTGTTTCACAATGTAATATAAAATTGGTTTATAAAGTTAATATTGTACGAAGCAATCCGAAAATTTTGGGATTGGAACTAGCTGGTCCTCAGTTTGAAAATTAGGCCGGAACCAGTAGTGCTTATAAGTGTGAGCAATTACCACATCTGACAGCTCAATGCTCTAGTCATGATGACGCAATGAAACGCGTATGAACCTTTAAACTGGAATGAATTTTAGAAACACTACTGACGGAATGAGTGTTCTTGATATTGAAGCTGGCTTAGTCACACTCAAGTCTACAGTGATGAAGAAACGGTAAACCAATAATGAGTGTTCATGATATTGAAGCTGGCTTAGTCACACTCAAGTCTACTGTGATGAAGAAACGGTAAACCAATAATGCAAGCATGAAACAATGACCTTATCATTCCTCGGTCCGTGGTAATTATATGATGCGTTTAGAAACGAACCCGCACATCTCGCAAAACAAAAGAGTTTTTTTACTAGCTTTTGCCAACCTATAATAATCGGAAAACTTTACTTGTAAATCTCACCTCGTTGATAAAGGTTATCTTGACACTTCACATTATTTAAGTAAACTCACCACAGTAGTAGAAATATTGTGTTCTTATTTCCATTAATGTGTGTTTTTAGATCATACTTCATCAATATTTCCTTGTAAAACTAAATGTGATACCTAAGAGTATAATTACCACTACGAGTGATGAGTGGTTGGCTGGTTGTTTGTTTTCGAGCTAAGCCACATATCGGCTGTGTCCGCCGCGGGGAATCAATCCCGAATTGCAGCGTTGTAAGTCCGTAAACTTACCGCTGTCTCACCGGAGGATGCGAGTAATTACCACACAAGCAGATGTTCAAGTTATGCAGCCTAGCTATAAGAAATTCGTAGGAGCTGAAAAAAGAATGTTTGAGGCAGCAGAAACTGTACATATGAGAAAGGGCAACACGTTTTTTTTTCAGTAATTCTTAACATTACAGTTGCCTAGTGGCCCGAGATAGTAACTGAAGGAGGACAAAAGTTGAGCACAGTCCGTAGTTCTACAAGTTTATTAAATTCTGACATTTGTCTGTTTTTGTTTTTCTCATGAAGTGCGTTAAAAAAAACGGGATTTTTAAGAAGAAAAAATTGCAAGCTTACCATTTATAACTAAACGGTTTCAAAATGACTAAATAATATCAAAGCAGATGCATAGTTGAACGTCCGTAAAAACTGGCGATATTTCCTTTTATCTCAACATTGTTTAGAAGACTTAAGTTTGAATTTACTTTACACTATCAGAAGGCATTAAAATTATGTTTAATCATAACCATGTACAAACCTTTGACAAACTTGACTATTATACAGCCTTTTATGTTTAGTTTCATTCTGTAAAGTTGTAAAGTAGTTCTGAATCTTAAATAACACGCAAATTTAATGTTATTAATAAAGGAATATAACGGCCATTATAAAGGCCATTAACATGAATTATACCATAGTTTCCAAAATATCAAGCAATCCATTTTGATGCGTAAATACTTTGCCCTTTTTGTTTTCTAATCCAGTATCTCTTACTTATTTTACTGACTTGGGGACATGTCCCCCACTAGAGCATTGCCAGAGGAGTTTGGAATCTTGCACCACCATGAAGAAAGGATATTCTTGAAACTTCCATAGTTTACCAGTTTAATGTTTCAGATAAGTATGAAACGTCTTTTTTTGTGTATGTGCCAAAAATAAACCTAGAACTGGTACAGCTGTTTAGCTATAAATATGGCAATTAAAGTTAATATAATGAAATATATTAGGAAACACTACAGAAAACGTAAAGACTCTATCAGAGTAATGATTTTATGCGTGGCCTGACATCACAGTTCTACTTTTACATGACATCTTTTTTTCAGCACTCAATTTTACAAAACGCGAAAATTCTAGGTACTCCGCTAATAATAATAATTTATTATTACAATATTTCTCCACTATATCTATAGCTACTTCTGTTAATGACGTCGTTCATGCATAAAAAGGTAGATATTCATAATCAGATATTTCCGATTGTTTTGTGAAGATTAACTTTGAGAAAGGACGTAAGGTCTGTTTGTTTTGTAATTAAGCACAAAGCTACTCAATGAGCTATCTGTGCTCTGCCCACAACGGGTATCGAAACCCGGATTCTAGCGTTGAGGACGTAAGGTGCTTAAAGAAGAAAGCAGAGCAGCATGGAATAAATCTACATGTTGGCACTGGTGAATGAACGAAATAATTTTGAAAGTGGTTGGAATTTATACCTTTAATAACAAGTTAATATATTTTATGGCCCATTTTGATTGCTTTATTTGAAATACACTTGTATAGAAATGCTTAGAACAAAAATGCAATTAATTGTTAGGGGCCAATTAAACTGTATCCACAACCTGTTCTATTTAGCACATGAAAGTCTACGCTGAAAGTCAGTAAACAAGTAATACTTATTTTCAATCACTTTAAAGTATTTGTAACTTAAGCTTTGAATTGGTGCACTTATATAATTTCTGATTCACTGCATTTTTTTTTTTTTTTGTAGAGCCTATTCAAACTTCGTATCTATCATCTAGGTTTAGTATTGGAATATACGTCCTGAAACTTAAAACAAAAATGAACTATTACAACACAGACAAACTTTTATTCATAACTGCAAGGAAACTACTAGAGCCTCAGCACAACTGTTAACTAATACAAGTCCAACAATTCTCAACATTACAAGTTCAAAGATCGCACCTGAAACCCATAATGTGCGTGTTTATCAATTTTAAGCTTAGTGAAAGTTCATCACCTTAAAAACACGTTATAAACAAGTAACCTGTTCTATGATATACAAGGCAATATACATGCACAAGAAATACAGAAACCACTAAGGGAGTTTAGTTGCCAGGTGATGGCTGGTCTAACCAGCTTGCATGGTGGCTCTAACGTATCAACGAAGGAGGTATAACAGCCTAAGGGTAAGACGATCAGCCACCTAGAGGGTCAAGGTGACCGACCTTCCTCCGATCTAGTCTTTCTCGCCAATGGCTAGATTGAAAAGTTCATGCAGAAACACTGCCACACATTCATTTGACTACAAACTCAAACAAACTTTACAAATTCTGACGAAACCAAATAACTGTTAATTATGTTCGTACTCTCACAAAAAGACGAAGAAATTAAAAAATTGTATTATACACATACACAAACATATACATACATCACCTTTTTCTTAGTAATCTACACACACAAAAATATTTGTTTAATTAGGCTAGACAGTTAATGTGCAATAAATATGAATAAATATTGGTATTCATTTATTTATTTGACTGATTTAACTGTAGATTACAATTGCAATCGTCGTAAAATGTTTATTCAAGTCAAAAGAAGTGCCTCTCCATAGTAAAGAAGTATTTAAAAAAATATTGTACATTAAGTTTCGTTGGATTTATAGTGAAGAAGCATTAACAAAAAAATATTGTACACTAAGTTTTGTTGGATTTATAGTGAAGAAGTATTAACAAAAAATATTGTACACTAAGTTTTGTTGGATTTATAGTGAAGAAGCATTAACAAAAAAATAAAATATTGTACACTAAGTTTTGTTGGATTTATAGTGAAGAAGTATTAACAAAAAATAAAATATTGTACACTAAGTTTTCTTGGATGTATAGTGAAGAAGTATTAACAAAAAAATATTGTACACTAAGTTTTGTTGGATTTATAGTGAAGAAGTATTAACAAAAAATAAAATATCATACACTAAGTTTTGTTGGATTTATAGTGAAGAAGTATTAACAAAAAAATAAAATATTGTACATTAAGTTTTGTAGTAAAATGTGACAGTACGCTATTTTCAAAACATCTAGTTCTCTCTCAAATAACAACATAACTAATTCATAGGGATTATTTATACATTTCAAATGCATAGAAAATAGAACTACACACTCAAACAATATCTACATGCGATTTTATATCAACAGAAAAGTAATATGTTGATTCTTAGAAGCGAAAAATTAAGGTCCTTTTCCACTTCCACAAGGACCAAATTATATCTACCAGTCTCAATACTCTCCTAGTTTCATAAGAACACAGTTTTCACAATTTTACCAAATGTCGACCAGTATTTCGAAATGATAAATAAAAAAAAGAACAATTATTATATTCACTGAATCCCATAAAACATAAAAAAATATTGTAGTATTTGATAAAAGATATTTTATATACAGCTTAATATATAGTGTTTTTAGGCTTCAAAAACCTAAAAGTAAGGAAAAATCCATTAAGTCAATTACAAAACAAAAGTTTTTTTATGATTACTGTATATTTTACAGAAGACACAAAGTGAAAACACAAAGTACTTTCATATCATGATCTTTATTAATTCTCAACCAAAAACTATGAGATACAAGCATGCAAGTTTTTCAAAACATGTTTTGAAAGTATCATAAGTATTATGATATTAATCACTGTTTTTGTATGTTGTCTTGTTCCTTCTTTTGGTTTGCATATAGTCAAATAAATGATTTAGTATGTGCATCAAGCATGGATATAAAAAACGTGTTCACTTACCAACAAACAAACAGATACCATAGTTAATGAAAAACGTGTATGAATATAAAAAAACACTTTTATAATTAAAATAAAAATATGTAAGGGTGTTAATAAATAAAATTTACTTGAAAAAATAACTTACGAAGTTTGGAAACAACCTTGGCTTTGACACTATTTTGCCACGCTCCTCTTGCTTCAGAAACGAAATAAATTATCAATATCACAACAAACAAAAGTAAGTGTCTAGTCCACACCTGATCAAAGTTTACCATGATTCAGTTGAATTCACTGTCTTCAAACAGAGTCTACATTACCCTATTTACCATGGCATCATGCTTATGAGATAATCTGTAAGAAAACAAAAGAAAAATAAATCAATAAAACTATTTCAACAGTCCAGCACACAATACCTACATTGTTGAATCATTGCAAGCTGCATTATAACTTGTAAGTTTGGTAAAGCAAATTGACTGGTCCAATTGCTTGACAATTTGAAAACGTGATTTCATTTGACATCTTATTTTTGATGAAATTTTCATGAGTTTTGTATTTATTTTTTGATGAGAGAGGGCTGTTACCATATCCTCCAATTGTCACAAACAATGAGTGACAATGAGAAATCATGAATTTATTAGCACTGTTAGGCTTACATCTTGCACAAGGAATCTGATAGATTTTGTAGCACTATTAATGGATTTTTACCTCCACGTTTTTCTTTATGGCATAATGTCAAAAGTGATCTTGTGCATTTTTATATTTATGTTTTCATATTTTCGTTATAATTCAGTAAAAACACTGACATGCTAGAATACACACACATACACTATCTGATAAGAAATGTTTTAAAAATGTAATAATATTTACTATCTTCAATTATATTACACGCATATTAAAACATAATTATGAGATTGTAAAAATATGCTCTGAAATTAGCTATTCCATACCAATTTATTTGTCTAGGTCTAAGCGTTCCCTGTAATGCATATATTTTTCTGTTTACATTAAAACCACATTTGCCTTGACACAAGTCAAACTTTTAAAAAACTGTACAAAATAAAATTAATTTCATAACATGCTTAAAGATGTGCCTACTTCATTATTTGAATAAACCATAAATACAAAATATCTCACTATTCTTTTAAATAATTTACTAGTGTTAACAATGACAAAAAGTTAAACTATAGTATACCATATGATGTTTCTTTCTGAGAAAATTTCTAAATACAACTACTTACTCCTACGTTTTAAATTAAATACAGGAAAAATATATCAAATCGTACATCTTCCACTTGCACAAAGTTTATTTCAAAAATGAGTTCAGTAGAAAGTAATTATTGTTACAAAAGTAAAGAGCAAAAAATAAATAAAAATGCTATAAAACTTTATAATATGATTTGTTTTCAATGAACATTTTATCAACTTTCTTACTTATTAATATGAATATTTTATTATTTGTTGCCAATATTTACAATGTTGTAACCTGTCAACTAAATAAAATTAATCATTGAATTTTGTCAAAAAATAATAACACAAGTTTGTATGAATTGTTTTTTTTTCTTGGCTTCTGTACATTTTTGAATATGGCAATAAATATGAACTATAGAGATCCCTGCCTATGTTTATAATGACAATGGTAGACTGAAATCAGTGATAAAGTTACCTATACATAAAAGCCTAATTTCAAAGGTGGAAGTCTATATATATATAGCTTCAAAGTTGGTCCTAGATATTTTAAATGTCATAATTTAGTTTTTGAAGCAAAACTCTAGGAAATCACTGTTCTGTTTGACACTGAAAACATAATAGTACAACGTTGGGAATACAATTCATCTATAATAAAAAAATCTCTACAGCTATCGCATATTTGGTAGAAGGTTATAAAATGGTTTCCAGTTTGCTCGTTACAATTTACAAAGAGTGATTGCCATAATAACTGTAAATATTTATTTTTTAACGTTATCTGTGGAAAAGTCTGGCACATTTATGGTATTGCTCTTCATCGATTAAAGTGATTATCTTCTTGCAAAATCTGAAAGTTGATCGAAGTTCGATTTTTTTTTCCATCAGAAAAATATACAAGCGACTTAGAACAGTGTAGAATCCCTAACATTTCAATGTAAAATATTGAAAATTTAACTTTAGGCTTTTGCATTAATTTATTTAACACGATAACACTTTTGAGTATTGCTTTATGCTATTATTTAATGACTGAATATGCATTTCTCTGAAATTTAAAGCAAATAAAATGATTTTTCATAGATGATTGGCTGTTTTTAAAAGTAGTAATCAGCTCCTTAAACATTTCCGGAATTCCTTTTTAAAATTAAAAATGATGGTTTCTTTCACAAAGAAAAGTGCTAATACCCACTTACATGTAACTTGCAGTTTGAATTTTCAACGTCACTTTTGACACTGTTAATGTTCTGCAAACCATAGAAGGTGGAATTCTAACTTGTATGTCAACAAACGGATTATTAAGTATATGTTAGTTTAGAGAGGCCACATTGTCAACTTTGAGATTCTGTAAATAAAATGTTTACGTGCCAGATTTCATAAAGAAACTTCCATGTTGTTTTTAACACTTAGTTTATGATTACAAAATCTTGCCATTTTCACAGACGTCTATCTACACATAGGGAGGAACGTCGGGATAATACGACTTGGCTTGAGTTGTTCGTCATATTACATTTTACGAATTTAATCATGGATTTAGTAACAATAATTGGAGACAATATAATCACCATCCCTGGGCATGATGTTAAAGCCAACACACGTCTTGATCAGAGCATGGTGGAGACACTTAGCAGTTTTATTCATCCAATTATTGTAAATAAATTTGATAATGAACAACAATTAGGAGCATATTATTACCTGCTAATATAGTAGCAAGGCAATTATAACAAGAAAATTACGTTAACAAAAATAAATAAATAATTCTTATCGTTTAATTTTGAAGTATTTTCTTTTCTTTCTGGCAGTAACCAAAAGTGCTTTATCAGTGTTTATTCAGTGATATTAGGCATATAACTTAATTGTTATTACATACAAATCTCTTTAATATTTCACAAATTTATGCTAAAAATGGAGTCAAAGTTGTTTATTTTTTAACAAAATTTCTAATACAATATATATATTAAGATGAAATGTGGCAACAATAAATAAACTTGGTGAATGTATTTAGTTTTAGTTGGTTTAATTGCGCCATTTTTTCTCTAACTGAAAATATGGCAGGGAGCCAATGTTAACAGAGACGATGAGCCATTAGCAATCCCTACTTTTGGAAACTCAAATTCACCGTAGCAGAAGACGTGATTTTTTTGTAACTATATTGAATTTATCTCAATATATAGTGTTTTGAATCTTTCTTGGATAAGGTCATTAAAAACCACTCTGTTTGATAGATGTACAAAATGTTGTCCAAATTTATTTTTTTCGCTCTACAGACTACAGTATTATCTTTAAAACTAGGCTGGACTAATCAAGCCTGTTGTTTATATTGCATAACTAGCTGGAGTA